ATCGAATCAGCAGATACAAAGTAAGAGTTAAAAACTATTAAAATAATAAAGATATATAATTTTATTTCTTCTGAGCTCTTATGTTTCTTGTCCTTGGTTTTGATGGTTGTTATGAGTTTGGTCTAAGGTGAGCTACCCCAGCCACACTTCGTCTAAATCATTGTGTGTCAAAGAGCGTGTTTGGAAGAGACTTTGGAATAAAGACAGCTGGACCATGTGGATGTAATTAAAACACCATTTAACAAGTCTTTCTCTAAAGCAGTTCTTTCATGACAGAGCTGTTTCCAAGAACCCCTTTGAAAGAAAGTCATTTAGAGGCAACAAGCAGCATCTGAGAATCAGACCCTTGATGTTTGATCAGGAAGAAAGGATTCTTATAGATATTACCAAAGCCTGCACTTTTGGCACTTTGGATCTGATGACTATAGTCTGAAATGAAGAGTCTAGGGGTGTGAGTTTAATTTACCAGATCTCTGTAGCTGCTCATCGTCTCTGCTCTACATTAGTCCCGCTGTTAGGCGATAACACACTCTCGAACTCTCATAGGATTTTCCACCCAACAGGAACACTTGCTCCGTTCAGGTTCACGCACCTAGGTTTGAACCATTTTTAGCATGTTCTTCCAAAAATAATTGGTTCGGAAGTGAAGTGCTGATGTGTGTGTGTGTGTGTGTATGTGTGTGTGTGTGTGTGTGTGTGTTTTGACAGTCCCTAGTGGCGGTTGACAGCAGCGCTCTGTAGCAGGTCTGTCTGGGTCTGTGTTGGGGGTCTGAAGGCTGTCTGGAAGCCTGGCGGTGGGGAGTGGAACTGGGTGGTGGGGGCCGGGTAGTGTGCCCAGCCAGCTCTGTGGGGGGTCAGCTGGTTCCCAAAGGGGCCGTTTTGTGAGGCTGAGCTGGACGGGGCATCCATTTCTGTGAGAGTCTGCAAGGACTTGAGCCAGTGTGGAGGATTGTCGTCTTGAAGAGTGTCCAGACTGTTGCCACTGGGGGCTGGGATCCCTGCAGAGGACAAGGCAACAGTACACTCAGATACTACATTGGAAAGCAAATCATTTTAAAATACTAGAGATTCTGTTTTCATGGCTAAACGCTCTATTTACCACAGAGGATATGTGATGAGTAACTAATACTCAAGTCTTTTGCTACAACAATAGGACTTTCTATTAACCTGATGATAGCTAATGTACAGTGTACAGTTTATCAGAGCTGTAGTTTGTTGGCTGTTAAACCAAAACTATGAGCTATAAGAGGCTTAAAAGCGTTGGCGATATCGTCATTTGATTCATTGTTAATCTAAAAAAATATATATAAGCTTTAACTGGGTGAGTGACAAATGTTTTACTCAAAATGACTTAATCTATGCTGCTAAAATGCCCTATGCAAGTTGTAGTTTTGAACATAAATTATATAAAATTGAAGATCTTTTAAAATTGACTTACAAATCCTCACCAGTAGCGCAGATTTATACCACAAACACTCAAACTATACAGTAGGATGAGATTGTGAACCGGAGGCTAACTCGCCTGAAGGCGGGTGTTATGAGCATAATTTCTTCCCAGTGGGACAGGCTGTGCCTTAGGCCAGTGGTGGAAGGAATAAATTGGGATTAGAGGGAATAATATACTGTGCTGATACCTACAGAATACCACGTGCCTCTTGCAGAAATGGAGGTGGAAAAGTATAGTATCCTAATGGCAAGCCAAATATACTGCTCCAACCAATTCTATTCTGGTGCCACCCCAGCTACAAACAAAACCCCACCACCAAGTGGATTTAAGGGAACCTCGAGCCTGAGCAGTTACGAAATGGTAATTAAACTCTGTAAACTATTTCATATGAAGGGATCCACCACATTTCCAGGGGTACAAGCTGTATATGAGGGTTCTGTCAACCACCTACTACCAGAGAGAATACCTCTGTCTGTCTTAGTCTGAACTGGGAGTGAAAACAGGATGAGTTCATCTGCAATACAGCAGCAGCTTGCAACATGTTGCTGTGAGGGAGGTCCAGAAACCATGATTTCTTTCTGCTAAAACCAGAGTTTCATAAAGAAGACTAATTAGGGTGAACCACACAGGACAGAGTTCATGGGAAGAGTGTGTCACAGAGCTGACTGCAAATGATCTCAGTAAAACTGGTTTTTGTACTTGCTGATTTCGGGTCAGTTGTAATTTAAGACACCATTAGAGCAACACAAATCTGTCCCTGAAAATGTGCATGTGGCACATTGTGCTTTAAGTTGTGGTAGATAGTGGTTCCACCCTCACAAAGGTACAGAAGGTCATTGTAAAGGAGAGGGTTGAAGCCATAGTTTCAGAAATACTGAAGTCAATTCAAGTCCCCTCAAATCACTAAAACCCCCAGATTCCCAGAAAATACACAGCTTTAAAATCCTAAATGATTAAGGGTGAGACTGTGATGATGCTTTTGTACAGGATGTAACGTACCAAAAGAAATTGAACATGTCCTCTTGGTAATGACATACAAACTAATAAGTACTAAAATCCAATCAATGGTTACCCCCCACTACCCCCTCTCCAGCTGACATTAACCTGTGATCTCAATCTGGACATGTTATCTGTATAATAGAACTGCACAATCAATCGAAAGTTTATCGAAATTGCAATAGCATTCTACCCCAATGGTCACTTAAAATTGTTTTCAAAGGGTCAGGAAAGCAATGCAGATGGCGTCCGTACGTTCCTTTTCACTAGCTTTGCTAACTAGGCTAACATGGATGGATCTGGCTATGGTAGGTGGTGTCGATGGATGCTCCGGCTCACAGACGGCTGCAATATTCCAGCTTCTTCAGCACTGCATGAGTGCAGCTTTCAAACTTAAGTAGAGTTGTGTAAACTTTTATCTTATTTTTGTTAATGTAATTTTTATTTTTTATATTTACATAAAATGTATTGTCCTTTAGCAGGACCTGACTCGTACCTCTGATGATGGCGGGGTCCCTCCAGCTGGCTGTGCTGTCCCAGCAGAGGCTGTGAGAAACACTCCTAGATACCCCCGGTGGTCCTGTGTGGTTGTGGTTGATGCTGGATGAGGAGGAGGATGATGATGAGGAAGACAAGGAGTTGGGAAGTCCTCCAAAGTTGATGTTGATGTTGGGTAATAGCGCTCGGAGACCGTCCTGCCACTCCTTTACATTTATGCTCTCTACGCAACCGCTGTTTTCTGCAACCAAACAGGAAGAGGAAGCTCTAGCACCAGCAATACATGGATTACAGTATCAGCCTAAAAAAGACACCATAACAGTTTCTGTCAGGCTATTAAAGCACAGTCTTACATTTTCTTTTTGGCTCCTCAGTCAGGGGCTGCTCTGTCATTCTTATTATGAACCAGGTGCTCAAATATTGTCATCTAATATATGGGACGAGATCATTGTGGAAACAACAAACTACTGACTGAGATTGTAAGCTGCAGGATGTAACTTTTGTAAAAAATTATATTTTGTCATATTTGCTGAAACTTTCACTATATCCTGTCAGTAGTACATGAGACAGATAATGTGTCAAGAAAAACAGGTTCCTCTGGTTTCTACTAGTGCTCCTGCTGGCATTTGTAAGAATGTAAGAAGGCCTGAAAGACAGGAAAGATAAATGATTGTTGAGTCTCATTCCCAGGTTTTCAAATATCAATGCTGAGAATGAAACTCAACAATCAACTCAAAGCACATTTACATTTTTCTTGGCAGCTTTAGATGTTGTTAATTAATACTGTAGTAGGCGGCTCAATTAACATGAGAGCTAGGTGTAGTTTCAATTGCTTTGTGGGTTCTACTTTGAATGCTGAAAAGGCAAAGGCTTTAAGTAAAGGCATGAAAAGGGCTTGTGCTGTAGGTCTATAGGGCTACTGTAGAAACATAGCAGTTCAACATGGCGGCCGACGTAGAAGAGGACCTGCTACCACTGTAGATAAAAATGGCTCCTTCTAAGGTACAGAAAACATAAAAAATTCTTGTTTTCATGAAATCATAACTATGAATACTGCATTCCATTTCCTCATGTAGAATTCTTAAATGCTGAATGTTGTCTTAACACAATGAGTGGTACAATAGATTTGTCTAAATAAAATAGACAGGGTTTGACATTTTTGGATTTAAATCAGGAACTATGATTAAAAATTAAGTAAACAATGCAGAGTTTGGTACTTGACAGGGTTGACGTATACACACAGTATAATAAACTAACCTTCAATTTTACTACAAATCAGTTCCAAATATCGGTTATCGGTTACTAATAATTTGTAATCATCTGTATTGCCCCTGAAACAGGTCAATCGGTCAATGCCTAGTTCAGAGCTAGCTGCTAGCTGCTTACTATGTCACATAAGCTATTGAATGGTAGGAAAGTCTGGTATGTTTTTACATCACTGAACAACTATTTGAATTCATAAAATATGCTAAGACAATCTAATGATCACATCAAGTTTGCCCACGCTGGTGTTCTGTCTAATCTGAGATCTGATGGAAGTCCTGAGTGTGGAAAGGCTGCAGCAGTGGGATAAATATTCAGCTGCCATGTTTTTTTCCTGCAGTCTGAAAGCAGTACGGTGGTGCTGTGGTCGGGAGCTGCAATCATTTAGAGCTCTGTCTAATGAGACACTGCAGACAGCAGGCCTCACGAGGATGACAGCCTTTCTAGTTATATGGCCCCATGAATAATAAATATTAATTGACAGGATGATTGTTAGTCGACTCACTCATTAACCCCCACAGCTCACTTCCTACAAGATGGCTAAGGCACAGACTATGGAAATGCCATGAAGTATTATTTATTACATGTCTTATGATGTCATTACCATAGCCATTACTTGAAGCAGTTGGTTTAAAACATCCATTAATTATATTAAGCTCTTGAATCAAATACTGTCTACCACTAACCCCCAAAACACGAGTGATTAAGAAGAAACAAAACAACTTCAGTATTCCCCTGTGATCCTTGCTTAGCCTTCACCAAGCCTTTTTCTTTCATTTTAAATGGCTGGCATTAACATCATCACCTATGTTGCCATTTGCATCCCCAGATAAATAAGCACTGCCATGTTTAATTCATGAGGCTGAGAGCTGCCTTTAAGATCAATTTGAACCAAGTTATCCAATGACACTCCTTTACAGGGAGGAATGATTTGCCACTGAATTAGTTGATGTCTTTCATGACTGCTATCAGACGAAGGTTGTCAGCCAGTGCTGCCTTATCTTCTTCAACTAGTTTCATTTAACAGCCATTATGTTTAGACAGTGGTGATACATTGTTAATGAGATGATAGCAGCTCAGAGATGGTGGAACAAAAACCAAAGAGAGGAGAACACTATAGGGTCAAAACTGTCCACTTAGCTTAGTATTGTGGCTGTTTTTTCTTGACAATGGGTAAATGGTAAATGGTAAATGGACCTGTACTTGTATAGCGCCTTTCTAGTCTTCCGACCACTCTCAGCACTTT